CCGTTAGCTCTGAGAGCACGGAGGAAATGCGCTTCAATGCGGGGAAGTGTAAGTTGCAGCTGCTCTGTAGGCAACAGAGACCACACCTCATGACCACATGTTGGCTAAAAACTAAATGGATAAGATAATATTGGTTTGCCTGCCGTGCCAAAATTCAGTAATGATAAATGAACAATACTTATTTTTCATAAAATAAATGTACCAATCCTGAATTGTATTTTTTTTGCAGTTTTTTCTATCTGATGTTGGTGTGATGTGGAACTCTTTGGGGACCTCATATTGTTTTGGTAAGTACATTTAACAAACAAACTCTTCACAGGTATGCTGATCCCAGCAGTACTGCTCAGGTTAAATACTCTAATGCTGTGGTATATTTGCCCTCTATAGGGCAGTAATCGCTGACAGCAAAGTCAATCTGCCACTGATCATATGTAGGCATTCAACAACTTTTGTGCAAACGGTTTTAGTCCTCTTTAGTCGGAGAGGTAAGCATTTGCTACCTATTTTCCCAATGTGCGGCTTGTCTTTGTACAATCTTAGCGTGTAACTGCTGTAACCTAAATATTGACAATACATTTGAAAGAAAAGTATATCCCACCTAGTGATTGATTATTCTTATAGCTCTGTTTTTGGTCACTACCAAGAAAAATGTCTGGCTCTTAAGTTCCTGCATATTCCACTTTTTTCACCAGCTTGTCAGCTCTTTGATTGTCTGAAGGAAAGCCTACTCTTGCAATTACCCACGATTAATAGGAATGTGTCTGGCTAGAACACACTGTGGACCAACCAGTACACATGCTATCAAAGACAGTCTTTGTTAATCAGGAGTTCAAAACTAGAATTTTGTCAAGGATGCGTGGGGGAGGCAGGGCTCAAACGCAGACTTCTCCGGAAACAAAATACTTTAATAGTCGAAAAGGGAAAATCAAAGGGCCAAGGGGCAAAAACACACAGGCAAGAAACTACGGACATCCACGACAATAGACAATGACGCGACAAGTGACACAAGAGACACACGGCTTAAATACACAAGGGAGGTGCAGGTGATTGGACACAGGTGGAAACTATTAGACGATCACAGGGGATGACAGGACAAGGCAGGAAGTGAAGTTACCCGGGGACACGAGTGGCAGAAAACTACAAAATACAACAGGAAGTGAACCACACCGTGACAAATTTATTAGCAACAAAATATTGCACCAATACTCTTTGTATTTTATCTTTTTGTTTTTTGATAAGATACATGCTAAGTTCCAAGGCTTTACCACCATCCCACTGGAATCTACCTTCATGGCACAGTTGGACAGCCATTTAGCCCAATTGACGTATATCTTCCAGACGAAGGGAGGAGTTGCTGGCCAGAAACTAGCTAAACATCTGGAGATCTTGCAAGAAGTAAATATGTATACCAATTGTCTTTATGACATGTAAAATGTCATGTATATTTGTGATGATGAAAAAATGAAGTTATATTATACATTTAGGTTATTACATTTTATGGTTGAATGCACTTATTGTAAGTCGCTTTGGATAAAAGCGTCAGCTAAATGACATGTCATGTAATGTAATATAAATATTGTTCAATTTATTAAAATTGCTGTACTTATTTCTGTATTTCTTATTATTTAATAATTGTAATTCTTTAACACAGGAGACAAGTGATGTCAATCCTAAAAGGACAGCTGTCCTAAAGGCTCTTTGCATCTACCTGGGGGAGGACGAGGGACAGCTTGTTCGGGAGTACAGTGATCCCTCGCCACTTCGCGGTTCACTTATCGCGGATTCGCTATTTCGCGGATTTTCATAATGCATTTTTTTTTTTTTTGGTGCATTGTGCTCTGCATTCTGATTCGCTAAAAACTCACTCCCGAGCCGTTCATTACAGTTCTCCAACGTAATCGATGGTGGCATGACGGTGTACAAGGATCTTTTTGCAAAGAAGAAAAAAGAGCGACAACAGCTGCCTATCACTATGTTCTTCTCCCGAACAAACACACCTGCACCGCGGGCTTCAGAAGAAGAGAACACTGCAGAGCGCAGTCAGGATGCAGCGGCCCAGTCTGAAGAGCAGTGAAACGGCCTACACGTGAGTCACTGTATTTGTATACATGTAATAGTTGCTAATTGTAAAAAAAAAAAGTTTTCTATTTCGCGGATTTCACTTATCGCGGGTCATTTTCGGAACGTAACCCCCGCGATAAACGAGGGATTACTGTATATGGTAAGTCATTTGAATTGATTTGCCTCTCACATGTTATGTTTTCAGATCCTAATGTCACCCACATACAA